TACTTGATAATGTCAGATCGCACATCATTACAACAACACTTACCATATTATCGCAGACGATGCTGTGTATCGCACACCCCAGACTCGACTTGAGTGGAAAATGAATCATCCGTGGTTGTGCGTGCACTTGTTTGGTTTGCACATGAGCAAAAGTGTTTTTAGGAGCCTAACTTGCAAACGCCAGACCACTGATTCGTCAAATCTGCTTTCCTGCAGTCCGTGGCTGTTTCTCAATTCCAAGAACGGAAAGAACTTATTAAAACATTTCATACTATTATAGATATTATTTACATATAATTGCATATTGTTTTATTTTACAGCGTTATATGTTTAACTATGACTATGTTAAGATTAATTTTAATATGCCAATAAAAATACCGCAGACTTTCTCCGGGTCTTATAACTTTTAACGTATTTGCGAGAGCGAGTTTAAAGCTTGCAGGCTTCCGTACACCGGCGCCCGCATCGTCTTCTGGGATTTCTAACGTCTGCACTCGATGCATCCTCAATATCAAGAACACATCCAGGCACTTTCATGCATCCTCTTGCGTTCTTGAGTATTGGAATTGAACTTCGACGGTTAATGATGATGTAGAGCAAGATCGCTGAAGAACGCATATTGAGAAACGGCCCGTGTTCTTCTGACTATTTTGTTGTAAGTAACGAATATGCTTCGGGGAAATGTATCGGAGTAAAAGTATACATTTTAACTAGGAAATGTAGTGGAGTAAAAGTAAAAGTTGGCAGAAATATAAAAACTCAAGTAAAGTACAGATACTCCCAAAAAATACTTAAGTACTGTAACGAAGTATTATTACTTCGTTACAATACACCACTGATTCTGACGGCACCCATTCACTGCAGAGCATCCATTGCTGAGACAGTGATGGAATGACACATTTCTCCAAATATGATGAGGAAACAAAAACTCATCCTAATCTTGGATGGCATTAATTGGACACATATATAGTCCCACCCCAAATTCATGCCATTGCTTGAGCCAGTGTTTCGAATTCTCAACAATAATACGTATGTAGTGATGCAGAGGCAAAACGGTTATACTTTTCACAGGAATCAACCTACTATGGATGGATTGTAGTTATCTCTTTATATTAAGCTAAATAAATAAGAAATGAGACTGGAAAATGCCATTTAACCGATTCAAATTCACATCACCTAAGCACAATCTCTCCTGCTCCTGTAAAGGCATATATTGTGCTATATTCACCACAGTAGCCTGATTAAACCTAATTAAAAAGCAATATCCACTCGAGAGAGCCAGAATTCCCAGCTATGAACCTGTTCAAAACTGAAATATATCCAAAAGCACAGGGTAGATGTTTTTCTTGGCTTGGCTGCAGAGCTGTTTATTGTGGAGGTTTGTGCAGCAGGCAGATATTTCTCCTGCGTTTGTACAGTATGCATGGTGGACAGAAGGTGCCCTACGGGAGGAAGGTCAGCGAAGATTGGCAAGCCTTCTGTCAGCGTGCCGCACTGCTCAAACAGCACGCCATCACACCTTCAGAGACGCTCATTGTGCCAAAGACACACGGACACAAATGCTAAGAGTTGCTGTGCTTTTATGGAAATTCTTACAGTAGTAGTTAAATGACAGTACATGTTTTGTTTTGTGATGGTATCTGTGCCTTTCTGGTTCTTACCTGTGCTATTATAAAAGCTGTATTCATGATCAAACTTCAGATGCAAGACAAAAAAAAAACAAAAAAAAAACATGAGATTCAAGTCAGGTGATCAGCCGTTTTATAAAAGGCTTTCTTAGTACTGGTTAGTGTTTCTCAGACTGGTTTATTGTGAAAATAGCAGCACACATCCCTAGTTACCACAAAAATGACGTAACCTGCATTCATTTCCGAGGACAAATCTGAATACAGTATTTGTTGAAAGATACTACAGATAAACCTTGGCATAACTGA